GTTCAGGCTTGAGGCGTGGCGGACTGGTCCAGGCTGGTGGCAGAAGGCTGTGGCTCTGCACTGCCGCTGGGGCCAGACCGTGGGGACACATCCCAGGCTCACATGGGGTCCAGCCCTGAAAATCAGCACCTGGAGCCTTTCTCCCTGCAGCCAGGTCAATACAGGGCACCCTGACCCCAGCAGGCAAAATAACAGTTTTGCGAAGAAGCCCGTGAAAAATGACACCTAGTCTTGCACAGTTCCTTTACAATAAAATAAAAAAAAAATATGGAAAACTTTGAAAATAACCGTGAATCCATCTCCCTCTGACCAGTTCTGCTGCTGGCAGGGCGATGCGTTTTCCTTTATATAAACTTTCAAGATACTGCGACTAGTTTTAGTGGGAGGAACTTCAGCAGGCACAAAATGTTACCAACGTCGGTTAAAGGAGCGGGAAGGAGCCAGTGCATCCAGTCCTCTCCCAGCAAACCCAGCCGTCCTTCTGTCGCAGAGCAGTGCGGTGTGTAGGTCTGACTAAGCAGACAAGGTAACATTAATCCTGGTTTTCTATGGTAATACCATGTCAGACAAATTACTGAGGTATCAGTGCTGTGCCTTCTGTTCACTCTGGTGATTTGTGGCTCAAATTATCATATAAGAGTATGGTTTCAAGTTGTTGGAAAAGCAGTAAATCGCCTCTGCGTGCAAGACTTGCTCCTGTGTGTTACCAGCTCAGGGTCAAATGCAATTACATGCGAGTTCCTCGTATAAAATGAAGAGGAGATATGGGCTGAGAGGCCTTGGAGGTATTGTCATACATTTGGTCTGACTGCCTGTCGCAGGGGCCATAAGGTTTTACATGGAGAGGTTGAGTTATTCACAGCAGCGCTGAATTCGGTGCTTGTGGCTCAAAACTCTGGTGCAGAATCACACTCGGCTCGGCTGAGCCCTCGCTCTCAGCGTGGTGCTGCTGGTACCCGCACGTTCCCCCACTTATTTAGCATGAGGGAAGAGAGCAGAGAAGGGTGATGCGCTCACGTGCTGTCGGTGAGAAGCACATCCCCAGCACGCTTCTGCCTGATGCCAGGATTTAGCAAACCCTGCAGTAACGAAATGCCGAGCAGATGTACAAGTGGTTGGGTATATGGCAGGGAGTCAGACATAATGGTATCGGTCACTGACAGCTTTAATGCATTTTCTTCTATCGTGCGTCTCCTGAACATCGTATCTACCCTGTTCTAATAACTGTGAAAATGATGGGGAGAGGGCCTTTAAAAGGTTTTTGACCATGTTTTCCACACACTTTCTTCATGCTTAACTAAAATCACCCTGTGAACAGCAAAATTCAACCTCAGGCAAAATTTCCTTCTCTAGGAAGGGTTTAACTTGTACCATATAAGTGGGGATAAATTACATTATAATATAATCTGGCTGCAGTCATTTTTAAGCAACATTTATAATACAGAGGAGGTTTTGAAATTTAATGTATCACTAGTATAGAAGGAGAAGGACAAGAACTAATCTATGGTTTTACCTAGCCAGAAAAGCACTTGCAGGGTGGCAGGAGATGACGTGCAGCACCCATGCGCACTCAGCCCCAGAAGCAGTTGGGGGATGAAGGGGAGGTAATTCCAGCCTTCATGCCGTGGCACCACCCAGTGCAGCCACCGATCACAATTGCCAAGGCAGTGGCTCTGTCCTGGTCCTCCTGGGCAAATGGCCGGTGTTTGTGTAAACAAAACTGGTTCATCTGGGGCACAATAATGTTATTGCACAGTTCAGATCAGATACGTGCAAGATTATGACTTTGAGCTTGCTCTGCACAGCTCAGATTTGCTGCAGATTTGAACTGGCAAGCGCATCCTCAGGAATGGGTGTTTGTGTCCTGCCTGATGCAGTCTCCTGGGTTTTGCCCTGGCAGTTCTTAGGCAGAAATATGGAAAGGCTGCGCACGTTTTTGTATATTGGATAATGTGGGTAATGGCAGCCCTGCCGCTGGGTCCAACCAAGAGTGTGTATGTCTGTAGCTCAGCTAGCACTAATGTATTGTCACATTCTTAAAACCGAAGATTATTAATAACTGGAACTGGCTGTATCCTTCTGTTACCTAGTCAGCCTTCAGTTGCTAAAATAACTTGCATAACTGTAAGAACGTTTTCACTAACTCAGTGTATAGTGCTCCTCTCTGTTTGGGATTGTGGGAATAGGGCAAGGTATTGCTCCTCAGGGAAAAAGGAAACATGTCTGGAGTCTTTCCTAGAGTAAGTATTTCTAGCTTCTTCCTGGGTATGTTTTGCATAAATAAACATTTATCTGAAAAATACAAACCTGATTGCTTACAGAAGACCATGTGTGCCTTTAATAATAGTGATGAGATGGGGGGGTGCCCCTAGCTAGAACAGTTTTTAAACAGCAGTTGCCACCCTCGGTCCGGCAGTGACAGTAGCTTCAGTTAGATGCAATGACTGACCTTGTGTTGCACTTGTGGGCTGTTGCAATGTGAAGTAAAAGATACTTGCCTAAAACCTTGGCTGAGGTTTGCTGGCCTCGGGTGCTATCCACAGTGTGCGTTTCCTGCTGTGCTGCAAAATGTACTGTGACAGTAAGTAAATAGAATAGCTGTTCTTGGGGACAAATCACCTTTTTGTTGGTGTGGTTCACCTGGTGGTTTGTAGAATTCTCTTGGCTTCTTCAGCAATGTTGCTGCAATAGCTTCTGATGTTACATGGATCTTGTGTTGTGGACAAATGGAGGTTGTGAGCTTGATAAACTGCCAGTTTTTTATTGTCAGTCCACTTGAACTTGCGGTGGACTTGAGACCTTCAGCATTGACTTAAATTTTTGGAGCTTTTCTGGGCTTCGTGAAGTGCACTGTTCATCATCGGCATCTCCTTGGTTAGGAGAATAAATAAGGTCAAGCAATTAATATCAGAGGGTGCATCTATCACACTCTGTAAGAGCCTGTTGCCCTTGGGGCGTGCCATGATGCCTGGTGTCGGAGACTCATAGAAGTGGCCGGCCAGGACCATGGGCCTTATCCCAAGAACGGGAGGAAAAATAACTGCATTTTCTTACGTACCCCTTAGGTTGTCTTCATGTTTGTTTTTGGTGATTAGCGACTGATCTGAAGGTAAAACTTGCAGTGTCTAAGTTGACAACTTAGCGTGTTAACCCATGCTACAAGTTGATGCAAGTCTTTGGGCTGTCTTGTTCTGCTGCAGCCCGCTCATCCCTGTTGATTTGTAGCTTAAACCGACAAACGGCCCATCAGGGTGCTCACGTTTGTGAGTGTTATGTGCTGGATCTGGCTGGATCCAGTGCCGGATTTGGAAGGGTGGTGGAGGAATTTGTTTTACTGCGGTTGCTGGCAGTCATTTTTCACCCCCCTCCTGAAGTACAGCAGCTGTTTGCCAGATGCAGGCAGTGTTAGCATGCTCACACGTGTGAAACAGGTAAACAGAGTTACCAACCCTCTCTTCCTGAGATGCAGCAATTGATCTGGATCTCAAAACCCACCACCACCACCCTTGGTCCTTGAATTGAGAGAGAAGTGACAGGTTCATGCCATACTGCCCTTTTTGACCCCATACAGAAACATTTGATAGGCCAGGACGTATGTCTGGCTCTGATGGAGATGGCTAGTTGTCAGGCTGTAAGCTTGCCTTCTCGATGTGCGTGTGCAGATAGATACAGGGGAGTCTGCACTGATTAAATCCTCATAGAGCTGTGGTTGCTCTAGGTCAGTTAACCCATCATCACAGAGGTCCAGACCTCAGTCTCAGAAGCATCTGAGTATAAGAGAGGAAATGTATGCTGGAGTTGCAAATTGTAACTCCGCTTAATCATTTGCCAGGCAAAAGCTTCTCTAAAACCTTGCCCTCAATATAAACACTGCATGTTTTCCATTTTAAGGGGTATTAAAAAGATCAAGATAGAGAGACAGATGATACAATCACAGAAAGTCTTTCTCCAGCAAGTGATGATAAAAGCGCTTTGTGTTATGATAATGCCTGTGTATTGTGTAGAAATTTCAGTTCCATAGACAGAAATGTACCAAATACTTAATTTCCTTTTTGCTTTCCTCATCTTTCAACGGATTCAGATATCTGTCTCTGGAAACGTAAAGCTAACAGTTTGACTGGGCTGATGAGTTTGGTTGCCACATCTTGAACATTTAATTTTTCCTTATGCTCTGGCGTCTGTTATTCTTTAGCACAATCACACTGAATATCAATTAGGAGGTGGGAAGATGATTGTGGAAAACTTGGGTGAGGGGGATGAGATGCTGACTGGGATTTTGGCCGTTTTGAGTGGGGATGCATGTTTGCTCTGAATTCTTTCTGAACTTTGAAAACTCTTCAGTATTAAACTACACGTGCTCTGCAGTGACGTGAGATTTTGAGATCCCCGTGATTTGCATTCCTCTCTCCAAAATCACAATAAATGGCGTCTTCCACAGGCAGGAAGACAAGACAAGTGGTCAGTGCCAAAGTTATTTAGCAGATGGTGCTTGAGTACTGAGCAACATCATCATCTCGAGTGTAAGGCACATAATGGATGTCTACTGGCCTGGCAAATGAGACCCCCGATGTTACTCACATGCTTCCGTCTCCCATCCTGCAAGATGCTGCCATCTGTCAAGACACAGAGCCAGGCCTTGCTTAAATAAATAAATAAATCCATTTCCCCTTTCTTTCCAAAGAAAGCCATCTCTGGCTTAAATAAAAGCTATGTGCTCTTGCCATCTCTGGCTTAAATAAAAGCTATGTGTATATACACTATGCATGGGCATATGTATATACTACATGTGAGAGAGGGGAAAATATAGATACAAGAAATGCAAAGAAATACAAAAATATAAGAAATGCACCCTTGGGTTCTGTTACTTGGGACAGACAATGCTAATGCATGGTAAACAGTTTCAGGAAAATACTGTGTAATTTTGGAAGTGCAGTGTACACCAAGCTTAAACAGTTATGGCTCTTGTCATGAATTAATCTCCTTTCTCTGTCTTTCGGCAGAGTGTGACAAGCTGCGGCGGGATGGCTACCGGAGCTCACAGTATTACTCTCAGGGCCCCACCTTCTCCTCGTCCTCCAGCGCAATCTGTGGAAGTTACCAGGATGATTATGAAGAAATTGAACAAAAGGTAATGGTGGGGGGCAAAGTGCTGGAAAGAATACATGCCTGGTGCGGTTTAATTGCCTGCCATAACATTGTTCAAGTAAGGGAGGATTTTTAGAAGATCATAAAGATGCTTATTCCTTTGAATTACAGTGATACTAGGTCCTCTGACTTCTGTAGTCTCCTAAAAATTCCAGTTCTATCCATGCATTTATATAAAGTTCCCACTGGCAAAATAAAGGTGTGAAAGCCAGAAGGAGTTTGGTAATGTTCTGGAGGGAAGACCCCAGCAAGGGTAGCTGTTTTGAATCTGTTAAGTGTTTACATTCAAGTAGCAGGAAGAGCTATTAACCAGCCATCAGTGTACTTGCATTGTAACAGCAACATGTGCACACTTTGAATTGCTAATACAGGCACTTATGCAGTTTCATTAGGTAGAGGCTTTGTCCTAATGCAACACAACTGTTTGCATAAAGGCATCCAAAAGAATGGAAGATTGCCCACTAAGTTGGGTTTATCAGCTTTCTTTCAGTTTGCTTCATGGTTTTCATATTTATATGCCCACATCTCAACTCCATGTGTGTTTAGCTTAGAATCTAGAAATGAATTAAACAAACAAAGAGAGAAAGAGAAGGGACAGTTCAGCAAAAATCCTAAGAAAGTTGTCATAGAATCATAGAATAGTTTGGGGTTGGGTTTATCAGCTTTCTTTCAGTTTGCTTCATGGTTTTCATATTTATATGCCCACATCTCAACTCCATGTGTGTTTAGCTTAGAATCTAGAAATGAATTAAACAAACAAAGAGAGAAAGAGAAGGGACAGTTCAGCAAAAATCCTAAGAAAGTTGTCATAGAATCATAGAATAGTTTGGGTTGGAAGGGACCTTTAAAGGTCATCTAGCCCAACCCCCCTGCCGTGGGCAGGGACATCTTCAACTAGATCAGGTTGCTCAGAGCCCCGTCCAACCTGACCTTGAACGTTTCCAGGGATGGG